CAGTACAGTCCGATCAAGGTAAAGAATCTTCAGTGGATACGGCTTAATGATAGTTTGAGGTCCAAATGAATTTGAAAAAAGGATAGAACCAACCAAATTATAAAGGTGTCTATCCTAAACAAAACTAGAAAGAATAGACCTTCTTATATTTAATTGTATGAAAAAATAAAAATTTCAACATACTAAAACGCTTTAAAAATTGAACGATGTTGGAACTGTTATGGAGAGGATGAATGGATATACTGCAGTACACCTGACTTAATACATAAAATGTTAACACATTTATGGTACCAAACATCTTACTGGTAGGTACAAACGATAATATTTACCAAAAAGAAGTTTGAAATCGGCCAGCGATACCGATCAGTAACCAGTTTCAAACATATTACACGTAAAAATACACGATAGAAATTCTTTAAAATTAAAGGATTTAAGTTAATCATTATGTCCTTAATGTGAAACTTTTTTATTATTATTTAATTGTTTTGGAAACCAAATTCGTATTTCGTGTTTGTTAACCTAATGATTTAATTCTGATATAATCTAAGGTGTTGGTTTGAAAACGCGCCATGATTAATCTATCGTTAGTCATATTGTAATGGCTATGCAAAATGTTAATATTCTGACTAATGAATGTGGACTTTGTTATATGCGTGTCTTCCTAAAACATCAAAACAACTCTTTATTAATTGCGTGCGTCCGAAGCGTTTTTCTAGATCAACCTTTATCATGAATGCTGAAAGCCGAATATTTCAAAGCAAAGGATGTATAAGAACTGAAACAGTTGGAGAGCCGTATGACCAAAACGGATATAAAAATAATAGCCAAATCCATAGAAGGCTAACTTTGCCAGAGGTAGTTGAAACTTTAGTTTCTTAATAATTTCTAAATTGATGAACGGACAATTAGTTAGTTATATATACTATAATTCCCAGTTATATTATTACACCCACAAGACACAGAAACACAAATTTTTTAGAAAGTCATTTTACATATTCTTATTTCTGCAACCATGAAAGATATACATTTACATATGTAATATTAGTTCAGAATGACATTTAATAAAATTATCTAAAAATTTATAACCGCACAGTGTGTCATTTGAAATGAATGATTTGAACTGAGAACTTCAATTTATATTAGGGAAATGTTCACGTTTGACCTGACTAGGAAGGAAATGTTCACGTTTGACCTGACTAAGAATTTATGAATCCCACTATCGGGCTTTTGAATTTTTGGTTCACGTGGGTCCTGAGGTGCAATTGAGGTTTCTACAGTGTTTTGATTTTGTGTACCCTAGCATTTATATTTTACTCAATTTTTACTTTATCGAGAAAGTTTATACTATATATGGTATGTACTATCAACTACAAAAATCTGTTTTGCTGATGTCTTTGTCAAATTTACTTTCAAGTACAACAGCTTTTTTGTTGGCGTCTTTTTTAGAATTATTTTAATTTTTTTTAATTTTTTTAGTCAGTTGTGTTGTATGTCTGTGATGTATATTTACTCAGCTATGGCTTCTGGATCCCAATCATCTCACATTAACCTATCATTTCTGTTTGGGTTGCTCACTCAATTTTGTTAATAAATGAACTATAAACAATTGTCTTACAAATGGTAGGTGTAGCGTTTCGTTCCATTATTGGTGCTCAAATCAAATAAGTTGGAGAACCAAATCAAATACGAAGTTAAAAAACAGTTTAAAAATTCACATTTTCCGTGACACTGTCTCGTAAAACTAACTTCATACAATGTGCAAATGATGTGGTATTGTATGATTGCCATTGAGTCAACTATCCCCCAGAGTCAAAATGACGTCGATGTAAGCAACTATAGAACAATGCACGGATTACCAAAATGTGCAAAACCCTTAACGTGTATTCAAAAATGTTTAAGAGAGTAAATGTCAAAATACAAGGACAATTAAAAAAATTTAGAAATGGGGGAAAAAAACACAATACAATGGCAAAAATAAACAAAGGACAAACAACAGTCCATTAAACAATACACTATTGTTTCAGATAAGGGTGAAGGTTTTGTACCATTAAAACGTTTAAACCCGCTGCAATTGTTTGCACCTGTCATAAGTCAGGAATCTGATGTTCAGTAGTAGTCGTTTGTTGATGTGGTTCATAAGTGTTTCACGTTTCTCGTCTTTTATATAGATTACACCGTTGGTTTTCCCGTTTGAATGGTTTTACACTAGTAGTTTTTGGGGCCTTTTATAGCTTGCTGTGCGGTGTGATCCAAGACTCCATGTTGAAGACCGTACTTTGACCTATAATGGTTTACCTTTATAAATTGTGACTTGGATGGAGAGTTGTTTCATTGGCACTCATACTACATCTTCTTATATCTATATAAACTAAAAACAAAGCAACACACACCACCCCGAAAACGGAAGGAAATCTTGTGCTCAAAAGGATATACAGACCCTGTTCCACATGTGACACTCCACGTGCTGTCCATGGCAAGTGCAATTTCGGTGAAAATCTCATTTGATAATTTCACAATCGCCATTATCGCAACAACACGTTCTTTATTTAAGGGACTTGTTTTGAACTGGTTTGGTGCCAAATTAATACAATGTTGATAATAATATGGCCAAGTGCCTTCAATTACTTGTTTAATATATATAAATATAAATATCACGGGGCACAATATACCAGACAAAATGTACACAAAAATGAGACCTGACCTTCCAATACAATCATTATATCAGAAGACACTTTTTCGGAATAAACAATGCAGAAATTGATATATTCGAAAGTATTGTCAAATCCAGCATCAATTAACAGGACAAATTATAGATTTATTTTTTGTTGATTCCTAATAAATCATGAAAAAGCATGTATATGTTTCACTCAATAGATCCCAAGACTCTTTAAAAATGGGCCTAGTGTGAAAGTAAATTGGTTCTACTTTTTTTTTTGTAATGATGATACTAATACAAAAGTTCTGGTTCAGTCATCTGTTTGCATAATCTCCAATAGAAAACACCCAATTACATTCGGGAAAAGAACACATTGGTCAAACCCTCAATTTTCGAGGTCTGGAAAAGGATCGACCAGGATTAATTGGGGTAAAGTAGACCGCAAATGAAAAGGAAAGAGTAAATGGAAAAGATCAAAATTGTGTCTTGCAATAGGTCACATGTGGAACCTTTAAAGAGTTATTGCAAAGTATCGTTTACGTGTAGAGACAAAAAAAAGGCAGACGATACCAAGGGGATATTTAAAGCTCACAAGTCGAAGAAAAACTGACAACGCCATTGTAAAACACGAAAATTTCCACAAAATACTACATAGAAAAAGACTGAGTACCACGTACCAACACAAATAACCGTGATGAATTCATGTGCTCTCATGTGACACCAATCGTGAATCTCATACGAATACATATCCGGTTATATGTCTCAATCGAGAAAAAGAGTATGGGATTGTGGTTACCTCCTTGGTAATCAGTGACATATACATATTCGATAACGATCAACCAATTCATGATGGAGTTCGTAAAACTGCCGAAGTGATGACTCAACACTAATTGCAATAGCTTTTCTTGTAAGCAGAAATCTCCTGTCAAAGCAATAATGATATGAATGCAAGCTGTGGAATATCGTATCAACTAGGAAATATATTCTCCCTATTCTGGCGCTGCTGGAATTTTGCTACACAAAATAGAAACGTCCTGATTAGGAAGCTGAATTCATCTCTTGTATCGTAAAGTTTTATTCGCAACTGAAACACATTGTCAATATCTAGATGTAAGTCATTATATGGGACAGACAAAACTGTTACTGGAGAAAGAGATATCAGATCATTGTTCATTAATGATGACTAACTATACCGACTGCCCCTACATATGACGTTTACATTACTTAATTTATATGTTACGCTCGTGCATGTTCACATTTGATACAGACTTGATAAGCATTGATCCTTATCTAAAAACTGCTCCAACAGTAGTATGGCGTTGGCCGATTGAAATCGATACTCAAAATCTTTACGGTCAACACCACGAATCAGTTGACCGATACGAAATGTTTGTGTCTCGAATTACTAGCGACATGTTTTCGCAGTCTGAGATCTTTTGATACCAGAATATTCGTCCAATCTGCTATTTATAATTGTATCCTATTCCCGATTGTAATATTTTGACGGTGTTTTGTTTAAAATTTACTAAATGTCATCATATCCCTTATGCACGTGTAAATCGCAAAAATACAGGAAAAATAAAGGACAATTTGTATTAGTTCATGACACAAAAATCACAACGCGCAGAGGTAAAAAAAAGATACTACTCTTTTGTTCACGTACTTCATTCAAAAATAAGGCTGCGACTGTAATTGCATAATTCATTTAAATATTCTGTTTATAAATCAACAAATTATCACAACCTAAATTTCGAACTTCTTTAGGCAAAGATGACCTTTGATGTTTTGAGCTATTACTCTTATGCTCCTTTGGCCATGTCGTTCATAGACAAGCCAAATTTATCAGTTGCTATTTTCATTCATTAGCGAAAAAGCATATTTCGACAGGTAACTCCACGTAACAAATGAAAACAGAAACGTATTAAGAAAGTTACCAATAATCACATTATTCGCAGGGTTTTCTTTGATATCATAAATTACGGAGTTGTTAGGAAAAAATGAGGCACACTAGTCTTACTAAAATAATATTCACCTTGAGGGGAACTTTTAATAAAACCACAAGCTGAAAGCAAAACAAATTCAAAGATAAATTACCTTTGTTTCCAGTAAGAACAAATCATCATGATAAATAGGTAATGGTTATTTAAGGCCGTTTATAAGAAATTAAAACAAAGATATTAAAAACCTAAAATGTCTATTATTTTTCTGACAATGACAAAATATGTTACCTATTGATATGGTAGGTGCTAGTTTGTGAGACCCAATGTAATAATTTAAAAGAGAACAACCATATTAAAAATTGAAATGTCAACAGTTTTTTTGTACAATCTTGAGTATAAAAGACAACATGCCAAGCAACACCTTATTCTAAGATTTGGACAATCGTGCACTGCATCATTGAAAAGGTAAGGTCTGCTCAATCGTATAATGCATTTACATATAATATCGTAATTCGTTTACCAAATACTTTTTATCGATCTAAATTTTAAATGAAGCATACGATTATCAATAACTCTCATCGAAATTGCATTGAGAGGTAGAAACCAAGTCTATGAAAGCGTTTTTCCTTTGCTTTGTTTGTGTTTTCCTGCGTATGTACTGATTTTGTGCCATGGATGGGTGTCCCTTATCCTTTTTTTCTATTATGACAAAGTTAAGACGATTTTACATAATATAGAATAGCTAAAGACTTTATAAGTATAACTCAATTCTTTTGTTATTTTAAATCAAAGACGTTATAATCTTACTGTAATTATAAAGGCCACATATTTATATCTTATTCAAACTGCAATTATGAATATTCTACTTTAATGCAGTATTTTTACATTGCTGTTTGTTTTGTGATAGACTCGTTTCGTTCAGTGCAAAAAAGAAATGTAGCTTTATATCTTATTCAAACTGCAATTATGAATATTCTACTTTAATGCAGTATTTTTACATTGCTGTTTGTTTTGTGATAGACTCGTTTCGTTCAGTGCAAAAAGAAATGTAGCTTTTTTCAATAGTGTTGAGATACATTTTTTTCGTGTGTATGAAATATTGAAAATAGAAACGAAAATTAAAGATTGACATTTGTAAAAGGAATAATTTCCTATGAGTCCCGGTACGACTTTTTATAGACGTTGGTTATATGAAATAATGGTATTTCGAATATTAACGTCAGTAAACAGTTAAGAGTATACGTATAGCATGAAAACAGTCAATATTTATAACAAATGATAAAAATACAGTCTCACATGACAAAACAAACACTGAAGAGAAAATTAAATGTCCTTTAAATTGTAAATATAAAGTAGAAGGCGTTTTTTTTGCAATTTTAAATGTTTCATAAAAAACATCAACCTTATTGTTTATCATAATTATGTCAACAATAAAGTATTTCAGTCAGAACTTACCTTCAGGCAATTCCGTTACTGCAAATTACAAAAGGATTACCAATAGTTTCAGTATAAAAGATCTCTTTGAGAACAACTAACAGGAAAAAAAATTATGAAAGTATTCGTATGGTTCTTGTTTTTCTATTTTTCTTCAATTTTTTTTCAACTTTCTATTTCATATAACTTAGTTCAAAGATGGGTTCGAAAACTGCTTTAGTTGCAGCTCTTGTTCTTTTGGTGGTATTTGTGAGTATGTTTGGTGAGTCAGTTTTCCTTATATACTTTAATCGTTTTATTTATTTTTTTTATTTACCGTTTTAAGAGTTTCATGGCTTTCAAGACTTTGTTTTATAGAATATTCAACTCGTAAAAATTGAGAACAAACATAGGTAACTACTACTTGTATAATTTGATATTGGTGTCAGGCCAACTTATCACCTTTGAATCTAAATATTGACACATAGATATCATTTTCGTATTTGTGGAATACGAATTAAGCTGCATTACTTGTAAATTATTTATGTAAAGTAAACACAAATCTATCAATTTACAGATTTAGTGGAAATGCGCTGGCCAAGCGGATGTAGCAATCGAAGTAAGTTTCATTTTATATAGGGGAAAATGTTAAACATGCAAAACAACGATAACATTGTTAAAAGAGGAAAAGTATACCATGAAAAAACTTCCAAACATATGACGAATTTTGCTGTAATAGAATAATTGAAATTACGACTTGAAATAAGTCTATTTTGATTAAACTAATCGTTTTGCACATATTGTACCATTTCTACCAGAACACATGTGTATATTTTCCTTGACACTTAAAATCTTTACGGTTCTAAATGAAAATGGAAGTCTTTAAATTATCGTGAGTCCAAAGCGATATAAAGATAGGGAAGTGATGATTTTACTTTTATAATTTTATAGAAAAGACACCATCATTATTAGTTTTTTAGTGCTGAATATCACTGTAACAGACCTAGATGACCATGCAAATTATCTTTTTCCGTCCGATTAGAAAAATAAAGGAATGTTAGTAATTTATAAAATATATATCTTATCTTTGAAATATTCAAGCTTTTGCAGCTTTATAATGTAGTTATGGCATTTAGACAATAAATTATGGAAAGCGTCTCCTGATATACATACATCAATTAGTCGGACGATGTTTTTTCGCTTAAAATAAACTAAACTTTGTGATTTATAGGTTAACAACCATGTTTCAGTAATAATACGAAAGGAAGCGGTCAATAATATGAGCACGAATTGTATCTTTACTAGGTAGATAGCCTTAAAATTTATAGGCATGCGCTTATGACATCAGTGTTAGATTAACAGTTGAAGTTGATATTGAATTGTTATGTTCTTGTTTTCTTAATCTATTGTCAGTTTGCTGGAATGACTGGGATTGCAAACACGACCATCCAGGTTGCCACTGTTGTAAAGTTAAAGGTGTCCCATGGGGACGTTGTAATTGGTAGTAACATCGGGGAAGAGGCAACATAGCTGCATACGGATATTTTTGGAAATAAATGCAGGCTTTTAAACAATTATATTTAGTTCTGTTTTTTTTTCTTCATTTTTTTCTATCGTATCCACTGTTAGACTGGACGAATACTTGGTGTACGTACGTAAATAGATAAACATAATTATGTTTTGCGTACCATATGGGTAATTACTACACCCCAGATGAACATAATTATGTTTTGTGTACCATATGGGTAATAACTACACCCCAGATGAACGTGACGATTATTTCATTGAACACAAAGGTCAACGGTATAAGCTAGTTATTCTGATCCTATGTTGATTATTAACGTCAAATAACAGTTCTAGTTTAAGGATCAAATTATTGATGACCCTTATCAATACTATCGAAATCAACAACATTTAGAGTAAATATTTCAAACAGTTTTGTTCTCTTAATATACTCACTTGCTAATTATAAAGAAACGATTTTATCGGATGAAACATGTCTTTTGACGTGCAAATCAAATACAATGACACTACACTTTTGGTTGTAGTGTATTGATTGTTGATGGTCATGTAAATACTGGATTTAACCAAATTGATAACACCATTGAAAGTATCACATTTATTGTACATTATGTAAAAGCTAACAACATACGATTTTATAAATGTAGCTAATAACCAAAAAGGTCAAATACCAAATGAATAAGAAAATACCAAATAAAAATTTACTGATATTACATTGATGTCTTTTGTTTTTATATTGATTTGGTGCTGTCTTATTTATGTACACTATCGGAACTCCTTTTATTCATAAAATTTTGATATAAGACTTTTTAAAGAGTCATTCTCTGTAAGCATTTAAAAATTTCAAAGAAAATAAGAAATACGTACTCCAGGATTTCCTTAATTTTTCTTTCATGGGTTTGTCATTGTGAACTGACAAAGAACAATAATAATCATTTCAAAAGTTGAAGTGTTGGTTGCCATGAATACAAGTTACTTTGAATTTGCTTGAAAAACGTCATTAACATGATTTATGCTCAATGAAAAGACCATTTTTTCCTGTTTTTACCACTTTTATTGTAACAAAATGGAAACATATATTCCCACTTTTTTCTTTTGCTATGAAAATACTATATAGTAGTGTTTCAAAATAATATTTGAAAGTTCGGAAAATTCTTTCATCTTAAGTAAATATTTTGAATTTTTAAATTTGTTTTTCCAAAATCATGATTTGCGAAATTTCACAAAATAACCCATTTTTATGGCTCCAATATTCTTTATTCCAGATTTTGTGGCATAAACGAATATCATCATTAAAAAATATTGCATCTGATGCATTCTTGACAAAACAAATCTCAGACGGTACATTTTCTTTTTTTTTTTTAATTTTGATTGAAAAAAGGTAATTTTTTTTTACATTTCCCAAACATAAGCATTATTCATGCAATTATTTCATATTAAATGATCAGTTATGTTCAAGCAATAATAAAAAATAAAAAATAAACTACACACATTTTGATAGTCAATGATAATTAAATACAAATATCATGTACAAGTAGGAAAAATAGGAGATTTTCTCTTTCAAATAATCTAGGCCGGTTGACTTTTACCATATTTTCCAAGGTTAACCAATTCAAACATACATTTCGTATGCAAGTTGTTGGAAACTGGTTGCATTTTAGTGAATGACTTAGTTTCAAGGTTTCAAATAGTTGCCTTTTCTTCTTACATATGTGTCGTAACCATAGTAACCATTGCTATGAAAACTTATGTTTCTATAACTTGACTTGATGGAAGTTTACGAAAAATAAAATCGGAATACAAAATTTTCAAAACATTAGATTATATAAGTAAACATGTAAGTTTTGGTACTAGCGTATAATTTGGTTTAAAATCTGGCAATCTGCCAAATGTTGCATTATTATCCAACATAGTAAGGTTAAGTGATTGCAGTTTTAATTAAAAAAAAAAATAACAAGTATATCCGACACAGAAAGGAATATCGATAACATTGGTTTCTTTTCTTAAACTATTTGATTCGAAATAATCAAACCACTTTGATATAGATATAAGAAGATGTGGTATGAGTGCCAATAAAACAACTCTCCATCCAAGTCAAAATATATAAAACTAAACCATTATAGGTCAAAGTACGGTCTTCAACAGGCTCACACCGAACAGCAAGCTATGAAGGGCCAATAAATTACTAGTGTAAAACCATTCAAACGGGAAAAACCAACGGTCTAATCTATATAAAAAAACGGGAAACGAGAAACACTTATGACTGTATATGTCATATGATATGACTGTATTAATATTTTGGAGTTTAAGTAGGAAGAATAACACAGGCAACAGACCTATTGCTTTTGTACTTATTATATTTTGTTTTCTTCCGCCTAATTTTTTTATTTTTGCTGTAATTTTGTTTAAAAATATGTCGCTTAGATATTTGTTTATGATCTCATACAGTTTATACGCTTTTGAAAATGACCCAGTTTAACCGAAAGAGTTATCTCCCCGATCACTGTTTTTCTTGTTATGACTACTCTTTCGTAACCGTAAGAAAAGGCGACAAATTTATGTTTCCAAATTACTCGCTACATCCTCAAAATGTTACGTTTAATATTGACCGAAGCTATCCGGAGACTCCATATGAGAGTTATTTCAACTTCTGTTTTTTTATTAAATAAGTGAAATGTAATTGTAATTGGTAAACCATAAGTTATAGAGACCTAGGGTATTTTGAATTGAGGTCCTTGGTACACCAAAAGGAAATAAGGTCAAGTTCAAATTTCATGGCCATGTTATAAATTATGATTATGGCTTATTATTGCTTCTCCTCGGAAAACGTATAGGATATCGACATAATATTTTTACCAAACTGTTAGTTGCGACATATATATATAATCATAGGTTTGAACGTTGTTTTCAATTTAGACTTGTTTATATTTTTTCGTTTGGGCTTGTATTATACTTGCCTTCGGGTTTATATGATCCGTTCATCCTATTTTGACTCCTCAAAATTCAAGAGTCTATCCTAAATTGAGGTAAATTATGTGGCCTTCCAATAACCGTTTCGGATATGGTGTACAAAAAATCTGTGCACCTTTGTTTGCGGTATACCATCTTTGCCGCAAGTCTATTGTTTTCTGTTTGGTTTTAAATTTATAGTTAAGATCAATTTATTACACCTTGTGATCCGTTTATTTGGCAATCGCCAATGGCAGTCAGCAGGGTTTAAGAACATTTGTTGTTCGACCTGTTAGTCAAATGCATTTTGTTAAAATATACTTTTTCACTTTTTTGGACTTTTGGAAAATGTTGTTTGTGCTGTATTTAGACCCCTCTAACAAGACATTTGTTTTGCATGCACACGTATAAAAATTGCGGTTTTTATCCAACGCAATCAAAGGTTTGAACGTTGTTTTCAATTTTGACTTGTTTACATATATATATATATATATATATATATATATATATATTAGTTAAAACAGTGCGTTGACATTTAATGAGGGTTTAAAGTTAGCTCATACCCATATAAAATAGAAAATTAAGGTAATTTGATTTGAGGTCCTTGCTTGAAATCTAGTTCAAGGTCAAAGGTACATTTGACGTAATAGATCATAACCTTTGCTATGAATTCATATTTAAACAAGATAAGCCATAGGGTCTTTTGCATTAGGTTGGTAGACATATGGCCTTGAAAATGTCAACCAGAAGTGACCTTTTGTAATTAGGAAGTAGCCATTTCCTGCACTGATTTCATTTAAAAGTACCTAGAACCATATATTTTTGGCATCAGTGTAAGATAATCAGATGGTACTGGAAGTGATTTTTTTAAACCGGAAGTTGCAATTCATCTCCCTAATTTCAAATAAAATATATAGAAACCATATATTTTCAGAATCAGTGTGACTAAAGCTATCATATGAGACCGGAAGTGACAAAGTAGCAAATTATATCACTTATTTCAGACAAAAGTATATAACACTATATATATTTTTATTCAGTATGAAGAAATCTATGATTGAAAACCAATGGTAACTTTGAGAAAACAGCATTTAGCTTCTTATCAATTATTTATAAATCTAATGTGTGAAGACCTTCAATTGTTGAACAATTGTTTTTTAATTCTTTTTTACTCTTTGGTTAGGAAGAGGGAGGGATTGTCTGTTTTAATATCATAGTATCCCAGACAGTTGTTGATTAAATTACTTGAAACCAATTGTCGATACATGTATTAAACAATGTTGTTTTATGAAAATTATAATTTAAATTTGATTTTATTTTTGCAGGAAGAATTGGATCAAGGAACTTTTGTTTTTGAAAAAATTAAGCAAAATTTTTAAGTATACCCTTCCCAATTTTTTGTATTTTGATTTATCATTGGTTAAACTATTAAAAAACAATTTTAGCCATGTCATGTCTGGAAAATCTCGGTTGACTGGGTCGATGCCACTGCTGGTGAACGTTTCGTCCCCGAGGGTATCACCAGCCCAGTAGTCAGCACTTCGGTGTTGACATGAATATCAATTATATGGTCATTTTTATAAATTATCTGTTACAAAACTTTGAATTTTTCGAAAAACTAAGGATTTTCTTATCCCAGGAATTGATTACCTTAGCCGTATTTGGCACAACTTTTAGAAATTTTGGGTCCTCAATGCTCTTCAACTTTGTACTTGTTTGGCTTTATAGCTATTTTGATCTGAGCATCACTGATGAGTCTTATGTAGACAAAACGCGCGTCTGGCGTATTAAATTATAATCCTGGTACCTTTGATAACTATTTACACCACTGGGTCGATGCTACTTCTGGTGGAGGTTTCGTCCCAGAGGGTTTCACCAGCCCAGTAGTCAGCACTTCGGTGTTGACATGAATATCAATTATATGGTCATTTTTATAAATTTCCTGTTACAAAACTTTGAATTTTTCGAAAAACTAAGGATTTTCTTATTCCAGGAATAGATTACCTTAGCCGTATTTGGCACAACTTTTTGGAATTTTGAGTCCTCAATGCTCTTCAACTTTGTACTTGTTTGGCTTTATAACTAATTTGATCTGAGCGTCACTGAT